GGATGCTCAATGACATGAAGTATCATTTATGACATTTGTTCTGGATTCCAGGACAGAGAATCTGAACACAAACCACCCTATGTGCCCTGGGTGTGTGTGCACTTTTATCACACATGCCTTCTGCCTCTTCTCCCCAGGAAAACCACATCATCATGCTTCACTGGAGTACTGAGCTCTCTCTGTTTTGTTTGTTTACTCTGATATTTTTCAAGCATTTTTCATCCCAATAATATATTTCCAGAGAATGTGTTTTTAACAGTATTTAGGACCCTCCTAATTTTTTCTCCAATTATTCTAATGGTTCATCCAAAACCATTTTCCTTACAAAGGTATTCCAGAAAGGAAAAAGGTTAAAAGCTAGGTGAAATTAAAGTCCACGATTGTCTAATGTTAGCAGAGATGAAGGTGATACAGCTTAAACCAGGAAACCCACAGATGTGCAAACATTCCTGCAGCTTCTCACCACGATGAGGGCTGCAGCTGCAGACCCACCTGTGGTTTGGTACCAGGTTGCAGGCTGGCTCGGAGCACTGTGCCCTCCCTGCACAGAAGTAGGTGTCTGAGTCTTCCAGTTGGGCATCTCTGATGTGCAGGGTGGTATAGAGCTCCTTAGAATCAAATGTTGACTTTAACCTCCCATTCTCCTTTGTCCCTGGAGCCATGTAGAACAGACTGATGAGACTGCCCCTAGAATTCTGCTGGAACCACTGCACATTGGTTGTGGTGGTAGAAAAATTGCATCTCACAGAGTTGGCACCCTCCTGGAGACTCAGGACTGAAGGACGCTGCTCCACCTGCATCCCTGTCACCCCTGTTTGGACAAAGGAAAGCAAAGCACAATCACCGAGAAGTTTCCACCATCTCTAAAGTATCCAAGAAGAAACCCACGAAGATGAAGGACCCCCAAGGAGCTTTGTGTCAGCTCTCTCGCCTTCTGCCACTGACAGGTTTGAAGGCCCCTTAACTGCATCTGGGGTGACCACAACTCACAGCAAACCTGCACCCACAGAAGGCCTAGCACAATTTCAAGTCTCCTTTCCATGGCTCCTGTCCAAATGCTGAGATGGTGTCTCTACAGGCCTGGAGGTTGCCAAATTTTGGGGCCAGACAAACATCTGCTAATAAACAACACTCCCCTTGAATCACTGAGCTCTGTTGTTCGTCTACACAGGAAACTCCACCCACCATGGCCAGCTGAAATGGCACAGTAACTGCTTCAGGACTGTGGATGACAACTGTGCAGGGGGTCAGAGGGCCATGTTTCAAGGGTATCCAAGAAAATAGTGTAGGTTAAAAGAAAAATCATATGTACATATGTCTAACATGGTTTATTTCCCAGCTCTCCCCTTCTGCCCAGACCTTTCCCCTGGACTGCTCAGCTGAAGGCAGCTGACTCTAATCAGGTGCACATGACTGGTCAAGTTCAATGTGATCCTTTCTGTATCCTTCCTCTGTTTTTATGTCTTATGTTCCCATTTGTTCTTCTCAGCTAGTTAATTTTGTTTCTACTTTAGAGAAAAAGAAGTATACACATACACACACACACACACACACACACACACACACACACGAACTGTCAGCATATTGGAATGATTTCTAGATCTGTGAATTTGGGGGATTTTAGTCACAAAATTGAAGATATTTGTAAGTCAAGGAAATGTTTTCTCTTAAGCTTCCATCCTGACACTGTCCACTGAAATTCAGTTTTCTTACCTCTGTTCAGATAATCATTCTTAAAACAGATTTATGGACACATAGGATCCAGTGAAAAGAGATATATATTTTACCTTTCTGAGGTTTAAAAATAATGACAGAGTGCTAATGATCTGGGTGAAGTCTGCACCAGAAGTGCCCTGCCTTGCTTCATGAAGTGACTTTCTCAAGCTTCCTCTCAATCTCCCAGAGCTCCTCATTTCTGGAAAGCCTACAGTACCCCCTAGTGGACTGACACCACCAGTAAAAGTGACCTCAAACCACCTAACTCCACAAGTCATACAAAGCCAGCTCCATTCACTGATGAAGGAAATGCAGATGGGCAGAAGACATGACTGTCTAGATATAGTGGGGGTTAAAAGTGAGCCATTTGGAAGATAAAATTACATACAGTTAAATGTTAAAGTTGGCAATTCTTGTGTTACTTAATTTCCTTCTGTTGTTGGGTTGTTTTGGTTTTGTGTGTGTGTGTGTGTGATTTTAGATGGGGTCTGTAACCCCAGCTGGCCTGCAAATCACTACACAAAACTGGTTGGCATGGACCACACAGAGATTTGCCTGCCTCTGCCTAGTGCTGGTAGTTAGTCACCACAGATATCTTAATTTCTCTGATTTAGTTAAAAAAATTGAAGTTATATGTGAATAATAAGAAAAATAAAAGAGAAAATGAGACAATAGCTTTCACTCTAGAGAGTAGCAAATACACATATCTTACGGGGCAGTGAGATGGCCCAGTGTGTAAATGTCCTCGCTGCTCAATTCTGCTGATGTGAATTCATTCCCTGGATCCCACAGTGGACCCCCCAACATTATCCTCTGACTCCAAATACACTCTGTGACTCTTGTGTACACACACACACACACACACACACACTCACACAGGTACTTGCACAGATGAAAATCATAATTTTGGAAAATGTAAGACAAAATACACATTTTTTTTCTTCTCCTCTTCCTTTTATAATAGAAAGTGAAAAAATATGGAAAGATCTTTAGTGTGACGCTTACAATTTTTCATTAGTTTTATTATTCAGATAAATTTATGAGGATATAAGTTTTTTATAAATAATAGAATCCTACATACATATTAAAATGTCCACATCTGACTGACATCCATACACACTCTGGACCTTTCAATCAAGGCACCTGCTGCTGTCTTGCACTGTTTTGTGGACAAATATGTATGTACATCCACTCCTCAAAATACCAGAGGATATATTATCATAATATTTATATATAACAGTATATGCACATATGTAGTTAAGGCTATTTGTTATAAGAATGGAAATACAGTTCTGTATCCATATGTTCAGTTTTCTAAATTGTAGAAGAGCAAGTGAAAGTTTTATAAATACAACAGAAAACAAACAGAAGAAAAATGTTCAAGATTATGCCAAGCAAAGGTGAAATATAAAACCTTTTAACCAATACAGACATAACGAAATTATAGATATACAGCAAATACCCAGTTGAATTAAACTTTTCAGTATTGATACGCAGTGCTTGGAGAATCAAGAATCCAGAGCATATCATGGATAGGATGGGGTTTGTCCTGCTGCCCTTGTGTGCAAGGACTGGAGCCTCCTCTAACCGCTAACCCTTCAGAACCATCACAGCCTTCTCCAAAGCATGTCTGTTCTGCTCACAGGAGGAAAGGAGGAGGACAGGAGGAGAACACAGGTTTGTCAGCTGAATTAGCTCAGGCAACAGGGAAATTAGAGATTGTGGTGAAGACTGAATTGATGCTCAGAAAGGGCAATGGAAAATGGCAAAGAGAAAACTTCCAGAATGCATGAAGCAGGAACGGAGGAAAGTAAAATGAGGAGACTTCATAGTGAGGTAGACGACTAAGTGCCACGTCTCCTTCATGGGTCATTAGTTGTCATCACTGGTCCTTCCATTTTAAAACATATTTTTTATGACTTGTTTGTAATTGTGTGTTCCTAGAAAGATATTAGAATGCTAGGGAGAGCCTCTCATCATCAAAATTACATGTGATTCCACCTGGGGTAAGTGTTGCATATTCACATGCACCTACTTAAAATCATACATAAAAGACAATTATCCTGTTGAATCATGGTTTTGTCTTGTTAGATATTGCTTAAGAAAACTGTAGAAGACAACAAGCTATAATGCTGAGAATTCAGGATAGGATTCTTCCTGGCAAAATGTGTGTGTGTGTGTGTGTGTGTGTGTGTGTGAGAGAGAGAGAGAGAGAGAGAGAGAGAGAGAGAGAGAGAGAGAGAGAGAGAGAGAGAGAGAGAGAGAGAGAGAGAGAGAGAGAGAGAGAGAGAGAGAGAGAGAGAGAGAGAGAGAGAATGAATTTACCTGGAACAAATCCATTGAATATGGGACTGAAGTCCCTTCAACAATCTTTATACCACCATTTCCAGCTCCCAGGCCTCACTTTTTACTTTTGATTGCTCAATTTTTAGTCTGGACTAGCCTGGGGATGTAGCCAGAATTCTGCCTAAGCCACCCACCTCAGCACACTCCCAGGCATAGCTGTGTTTTCCCATGTCCCCCACCGGACAACCCAGGAATCCTCCCATCCTTCAAATCAAAAATCAACACTGAGAATCTGAGGGATTGACAAACTAACTCTTCATAATTGATCTGAAATTAACTAATCTAGAACAACAACACACAAACTCACAATAATACAACAGAAACTTGCTCAACAAAGGCAGACTAAATCTCCTATCAGATATATAGCCAACAAACGGAGTTCACATGCCCAGGTTACATGGTAAAAACACAAATAAAATGAAAATCCATCGGGTGTGGTGGTGCATGCCTTCTGTCCCAGCACTCGGGAGGGAGAGACAAGTGGATCTCTGTGAGTTGAAGTCCAGCCTTGTCTACTGGTCTACATAGCAAGTTCCAGTCCAGCTAAGGCTACAGGGAGACTCTATCTCCAAAAAAAGAAAGAAAAGAAAAAGAATGAAAATCCAACACACGGTATGTCCTTACCTCCTTTTCACACTCACTAGTTCTACAGAAATGTTCTACATTGTCAACTACTCAGAGAAACACCAGGACACAGAACTTAAAAGAATAATCATAAATATGATCAAAGAATTCAAGGGGTTTAAAGAACACACAAACAAACAAATCAAAGAGCTAAACGAAGATAGGGATAAACTTCTGAATGAATTTACAAAAGAGATAGAAGCATTGAAGAAAACTCAGGCAGAAATGAAGAAGGAAGTGCAAAACTCAATAAGCCAACTTGAAACATCAGGGTTTGAAAAGCGATTTCAGTAAAAATACAGAAGTACTGAAGCAAACTCAGGCTGAAACAAAGAGGGAATTGAAAAACTCAGTAACCCAATTAGAAAATCCAGGGAAAGTCCTGCCAGTAGAATGAACCAAGTAGGAGACACCATATCAGGACTTGGACTGAAGTAGAGGAAGGGGACCATTCAATCAAACAATATGAAATATTTTTAAGCACTGCTGCCAGCCATCAGCTATTAATACAAGGAAAATTTGTGACAGTACCTAAAAATGAGTTTCATTTCCAAACCCACCACAAGTAAAGATTTATTCCTCCCTAACACACCACTGTTCACACATTTAACATGGAAAACGACTAACACATTCTATTTTATATGTGAAATAACCAATCAAACAATATGAAATATTTTTAAGCACTGCTGCCAGCCATCAGCTATTAATACAAGGAAAATTTGTGACAGTACCTAAAAATGAGTTTCATTTCCAAACCCACCACAAGTAAAGATTTATTCCTCCCTAATACACCACTGTTCACACATTTAACATGGAAAACGACTAACACATTCTATTTTATATGTAAAATAACAGGGAGCTCTGGCCCAAACTTAAAAAAAAAAAATTCTGCTGATTCTCACTAATCTGAAACCTCTGAAAATCTAGAAATAAAACATGGGCCATTAAAATGAAAATACAAAATTGTGTAAGGCATCTTCAATCCCTATGATAGCTGTAGCATGCTTTACCTTAGCTCTCATGACTTCGAGGTTTTCCCTTTTAGAAAGTCGTATGTTGGCTTTGTACAACCTGGTCATTCATGGGCACATGTAACTACAAACCACACAGAGTTCCTCTCTTACCAATTTAAATAAACACATAAATTCATGATGCTCCATTCCTTCATCATGCCAACAGGTTGCCTTTCTTGCTGTTTCATTTAATAAGCAGTTATCTTATTACCATGTAATGGTCTTCCTTGGATTCATTTTCTCTGCCTGTTAAATAATTAAAAGACAGGAAAAATCTCTGGCACAGCAGGGAACAAATTTTATTAACAGTTAAGAAACGAGAGAGAGAGAGAGAGAGAGAGAGAGAGAGAGAGGAGACAGAGACAGAGACAGAGACAAAGACAGAGAGAGAGTAGGCTC